TAGCACTACTAGCAGTATTAGCACTTAGTACTAGTACTAATCAAAAAAGTTATCAGCTTGTCCTGCTGTCCGTATTTTTTCCTCCCCATGATGTGCTGCATTTGATTGAGAAGTCACCCTTGACCTTGTCATCATTCACTAGTTCAACCAAAGCAGGAGACAAAAGGCCCACAGATGCAAATTCAACTTGTCTCTTCTTTGGGTTAGTGGTGTCCTTCTGATTTTATGGCTAAAATGGCAAGTAAAGTTTGCTAGGATTCCCTTGTTTTGACAGGGGAAATACTGATAAATTGTTGTCTCTGCTACCATCCAAACAACATAGTACCCTGGCCAGTGCTCATCCACCAGTGGTGCCAGCCCTTTGCCACTACTAGTACTACTAGGAGCACTACTAGTATGATGATTGCTGAAAACTGCATTTTATGTCATTCCTCACTGGTGGCAGTTGAGAAGGCTGCTATACAGCACTATTCCAGCCACATCATAACTTCTATGATGATTCTGGAAGAACTCCAGCACTAGTAGTGGTGTAGTACTTCTAGCGTCTTCTTACAATGTAGTAGATTGTACTACTCATTAAAGGCCCTCCTTTGGAAAAGCAGACACAGCAGGAGGAATCCTTTCTTGTTCCCACAGAGCAAAGTAAGATCAAAGTAGGATGAAAGCAACTAGTAGAGAGCTGCCAGGCATGGTTTTAGTGTAGGGAGAAGCAATGAAAGTACTATTAAAGGCTGGAATTTAATGGTAAGACTAGTATCTTGCCATTGATCTGGACAACTTCTTAATAGTGATCCAGTGAGGAGAAAGATATTGGGTCAGGAGCTGCCCAACACTTCTCTGAATGAGGTCATAAGAAAAAACGAAAACAGCAAGGCAGCAACACTTGAATTCACAGCAGCAGAAGAGGATGCCAAGATTCAAATCACCAGAGTTATGGTTTGGTACTTCTCCAGGTGCAATTGATTTTGACATAGCAACAAGTACAACTCACATTCTATCCTAATCTAGATAGACCACAGCCCAAAAGCCACTCAAGCACAAATGCAATGCATCATCTGTAAACCATTAAAGCATATTTTTGTCTACAAGCCAACAAAAAGTATTCAAACTTGGATCAACTGAAGTAAATCTATCAGGAGTAGTTTTATTGATATCAATTCCCCAATCACCCCATATTGAACTCCTTCCTCTCTTAATCGCCACACTAGCTTACTACTTTCTTCCTCACAAAATGCACGGACAGTATCCAGAATGCCTTCCCCAATTGCTTTGCTTATTATGCTCCAATGAATTGGCTTTTATTCACCAGCAGAAAGAAACAACTTTACAACCGCACATCTCTACCACCAGTCTTTCCTCTGATGATTATTTCCTATTTGAATTGCAATCGGCTGCATGTGAGTATGGCCTTAGCCAGAGCGGTAGGTACACTTTCAAACAGATCCAAAGGAGTGAACCCCTCCACCTTTTCTGATGATTGATTTCATTGAGTGCAACGATAGGCTAGGTTTTTTGTGGATCCATACTGGTGATTCTAGTTAAAATAAAATCGAATAGAGATCTCTTCATTTGCGGTGTCACTGCCACGAAACGAATTCAGTCTTGTACACGAACACAAAACCAAAGACAATCGTTACGCCGAGACTATTCGCTGCTTCAACGGGCGCAGCGATTAAAGTTTTCAACATAGTGTCAGATTCGGATTCAAATGAAACGAATACATTTTCACGAAACAACGTTTGTTTCGGTTCTTTAGTTTCTCATTTTCAAACTAGCATTCGTCGGAGCCTAGGAGGACTTATAGGCTGAACAACGTTTGATGAGGAGGGAGACGATTCGCCTTGATCTTTTTTCGAAGGATCGTTGTTGTTTTTCATTGTATTGGTAGTTTTGCTCTTGCCGTCTTGTTTGCTGTAGTCTATATCCCCCTTAGCATTACGTCGAGAGCGGCGGCGTCTTCCAGGAAGCGTGATTGGAACGTTGTAGACTACAGCATCATTCCCGTCCCAGTTGGGAACGTCGATCGCTGCATCTGTGCTACTTCTGCTATCGTCATCGCGTTCACTGTTGTCTTCGTCGTCTGCATCGTTTTCGACGTCCGTTTCGACTGCACGAATACGGTTTCCGGAATTGGTGCCAACCGACAACGGAGATTCGACTGGCGCCTCGTGCTTGCTGCTGCTGCTTGTGGTGGTAAAAGTAGTAAAGCCGTAGGTAGAGTCGCTTTCGTCATCGAAGAAAGGTGTTGTGGGCCGCAGGTCGTTCTGGTGATGGTGGCCAACAATTGATAGCACTCTATAATCCCCGTCTCCGTTGTCTTCTTCGTCGTCGTATTCGAATTGTAGTTGTTCTTGTTGTTTCTGATTTGTATCGCTTCTTTTATTGCTGCTGGTACAGTGCAACAGATCGCGCCGGTGCTTTGCGTGGTTTTCATTTTCCTTGTGGTGGTTGGCACGGTTCGTGTCGCAAACTACCATCGTTAGCACGGAGGGCAGCTGCTTGCTATTGCTTTTCAGTTGAAGTGCGGTTTCTTTGCTATCTTGCTGCCGCTTTTCCGAGCACTTTCGTTCTTTGCTTTTCCCCCGCGGGCCGGCGGGGCGGAACCAAGGTTTCAGTGCAAACCGCTGTGACGCCAACGAGGATGGCTCGAGCCTTCCGATAGCTCCGGAATCCTTTTCTGGACATGCTTCCTCCATCTTCGCTTTGTGGGGATTCGAGCAAAGGAGAAGTTGCGCTTTTTTGTTCTGCATTTGGTGCTCCCTGAAAGATTTAGATTTTTTCCAGATCACTTCGACATTGTTGTGGTGGTTCTCGTCCATTTTTGCTCGCTGCTGCTGGTCCTTGCTTTTGGCCTTCATGTTTCTCCTAGCCGCTATCGAAGCGGGATGGTCACCGCTCCTCTTTGTGTTCGGTGATGGTTGTTGTGGAGGCACAACAATCTTGGTGTTGCTCAACCGCTTCTGGACCTCCCTCTTGGATCTGAACCACGCCCGGGAATATTTTCGGTGCGGTTGCTGCTTTTTTGCTTCGTCGTCCTCAACGTACCCCACCACGAGTTGGTTGTAACGTTCCGTGTTGTCGGCAAAAACGGGAGGGTTGATATTGTTTGGCTTGGCTATCGAAACATCTATCGCCTGGTGGTAGTAACTGTCGGTGCAGTTGTTGCCGATATAGCTACAGGCTTCTTCTTCTAGGTTCTTTTGGTAGGCACCACCGTTGTTATTTTTGTTGTTGATGGCTTCGGTATTTTTGTTGCTCTTGTTGTTGTTGGCGACAGGGTTGCTTTGGTGGAGGAGGCCACTGCTGTTGCCGTTTGTTTTTCCGTCCTTCAGAATGGCCTCGGCGTTGGCAGTAGAATGGAAATTGAGGTTGTTCAGTGTGTTGTGGTGGTGGGTTGATGTCACCTGTGGTTCGGTACCGGCAACGGGACCGTGCGGAAAGCACTGGGACAGCATTCCGGACAAGAACAATTGACCGAGGGACAATTCTTCGGGTTGACGGTGCTCCTTCGATGGTGGCCGATAGTTTGGGCTTCGAGACCTCGGAGAGACACCCATCCCACGTTCGAATCCAGCGCACCCTGTCGGGGTAATTTCGCTAATACTGCTCGTCTCAATCGACGATTGGTCGTCTTCCATTGCTGAATCTACTCTAACTGTTCCCCTCGTTCTACTTCTATTTCTCGGCGGAGTCGGAAGAAAGGATCCGCTGTTAAGACTTCTCGTTTCGGGGGTCGATGCTGGAGGAGGGGAGGTGTAGCTGCTATTGCTGCCACTGTTATAGTGCCAGGATTTTGCTTTGCTTCGTTTGTTAAAAAGCCAAGATTTGTTAGCGGTATTTTTGGAGCTCGTGCGCAGCTGAAAGTTGTTGAAATCGAGAGCGTTGACGTCCATATCAAAGACGATGTTGCTGTCGCTATTGCTGTTCTTGTTGCTCGCATTGCCGCTGCTACTGCTCTTCATTTTTCGATTTTTGTCGTTGGTAGTAGTTTTGCTCTTAGTCGTTTGTGCGGAAATGTCGGGTCCGATGTTTTCGAACTTGCAGTTCTTCATCTGGCAAAGGTCTGCCGCAATCATCTCTGTCATAGAAATCAGGCTTATGCTGGCGTCCCCGTCGTTGTCGTCGCCTTTTTTAAGATCTTCGAGGAGAATGTTGTCCTCGCTGCTGCTGCTGCTGCTATTGCTGCTCGTCTTGTGGCGATCCTTACTGGTGGCGGAGGACGCGGACTTGGAAGACGGTCTCCTGTCTCGAAGCCTGCTCGTCGTTGCCGACCGTCTGCGCTGTCTCAGGTCCACCGTGGAAGGGACGTTGGGTTTGGTTGACTCGTGTGTGCCTGCACTGCTTCTGTGCCGACGGATCCCGCGTCGGTAGCGATTGCTGCCCGCACGATTGTTGCCGCTGCCGCTTGTATTTGCGTTCGTGCTCGTGTTCTTGCTGCTGTCCCTGAGTTTGTACCGGATGGGGGGAGTCGGCGCTCGCTTTTGCAACGGCTTCCTTTGCTTGATGTACATCGTCTTCTTCGTGGACGTGGGGATATCGTTGCGGCGATCAATGGCCCGATGGGATGTTGTTGGAGTTGTCGTTGATGTCATCGTTGATGCCATTGTTGATTCCATCGTTGACTCCATGGTCGATCCCATGGTCGATTCCATGGTTGATCCCATGGTAGATGCCATGGTCCAACCCAACGTCTCGTTTTGTTTCTTCCTGTTCCACTGTTCCTTTCTTGGAACAACCTTACGGGTGGCCTGCATCCTGGTAGCACTCCGTATGCTTGGATGGTTGGTCCGGTGTCAAACGTGCCCGCGCTTTGTATCGGTCGGCAGCGGTTAAAGAAAACAAGTTCTGGGTCGGTCTGGAAAGCGGTGTTTGAACGGTATGTACACGCACGGTTGTGTGATCCTGTAGACATAATTGTCGATGATTCTTCCGTTGTTGTGCGGAACTTTCTTTAATGCTTCGGTGCCGTGCTCACACCGGTAAAGGCTCTTTCGATTTTTGATAACAGGGTATTATTCTGTTGAGCGATCTTCGACGAAAATTCCAACCCCGATGGTTTCCGCAACGGATAAAAGCGTGACCCACAAATAGAGAGTGATGGCACGGAGAGCGCGCCATTTTTGATGACGTCCCTATGTCACGGTTATGACCTTCCGATCATCCACGTTTGGAGGACCCGCTTAATGACCAGACTCACGACTCACGACCCGGTCTGCGTGATCCGAATCGAATTCCGCGACTACGAGGTACTGGTACTCGTACCGCTTACGAACCTCATACTCTAAACTGTGTAACGTAAAGTACGATACGATCATCTGCTGTACGGTATTACTGTACTTTCTACAACATCATAGTACTGTAGTACAACGTACCGTACAGTACAGCAACAGATATGTACTTACTTCGTGATGATTATGAGTCCGCCCCGCGCGGGAACGTCGTTTGTTTCTACCGTCCGTTGTGCAGTTCCATCATGCGTTGGAAAACCTTGAGGTTCATTATTTTACGCATAAAAAACAGTACTGCTGTAATGCGAACTGTCCGCTACGTAAGGGACTGGTAGGAAAGGATATTTTTTGTTGTCGTTATTTTAAGATAGTAGAAGTATGAAGTAGGTAGTAGTATGAACGGGTATGTACCGTACTATCGGTCAACCCTCCGCTCCGCCGTCCGTACCCATAATTTACTCGTACCTACGGCAGTCGTAGTGTGGTTGATGTTCGTCCTTGTTCGAGCACATGAAAAGAACGTTCTTTCCAAGGAAATTCGGATCCACTGGTGATACAGTTTTCACAACAACGGATCGACCCCGAGATAAATGTTTGAGAGACGGAAATTTCCTGCGATAACCAACGGGTTGGCGGTATGGAGTTGAAGCAGCGCATAGAGTACTCGTACTCCTACTTATTGACAAAAAAGACGAGCCGGAACAAGAAGGATTGCGTACCCATCTCTTCGTGTGTGCCTGTGAGAGTGCGTGTGGGTGTGTAAAAATATTGCCTCGTTATGGGGACAAGAGCAAGCGGAGGCAATGAATTCATAATGAATCGCAACCGCGGACAACGACTCACAACCCACGAGGAACCTCAACGGCAATCAAATCCTTCGAATCCTCCTCGGCTCCAACAACAAAACCAGTATCCTAGCTGCGCTTCCCAGACCCTAGAGGAAGAAATCATCCCATTTCTATTGATCTGCCACATCGCCATTGCAGCGGTAGCGATTTTTTCTTTTCTTGGATAGAACGGAAAGAACGAAACGAACACACACAATGTACCAGGTCTTGGACGTTCTGCCAGGCTGGATGGCCACCTACCGCCATTGTACCGAGCCCCTTGGGGTCGGCTGTGTTGGGGCCTTTGCCTACAACGTCGAACAAGACGGCAACAACGAAGACGGCACCAGCGACGACAGCAACACGATCGTGGAAAATCGTTGCCCGGTCGAGGCACGGCAGGACGGCGGCAGCAGCTGCGATGAAAGGCTCCTGGAAACCACTCTAGAAGAATCGGGGATCCGCGACGGCAACGCCTGGAGAGACCTGTGCTTTGCATGCACCAGAGTGGGGGAGGTGGCCGGTATCCACGACGAGAATGGAGCGTCGAACGGCCCCAGCAACAGCAACGATGAACACTCACTCTTGGTCCAGACCATCAAGGTTCGCGAAAATGACATTTCGGCGGGTAGCACACCCTCCCAAAACTCTGCCAACCGCAGTGGGGACAACCCCCGAAGCGATGCCATTGGAGACAACAGTTCCGACAGTAGCACCACCAAGAACAAAAAAGAGAAGATCAAACGTGAGATCGATAGTAATGACAAAGAGCAAACTATTGTGGTCGAGACCATCAAGATCCGCACGGCAGACTTTCTCGAGGACCGAGAACCATTCTCCACCACTCCCGACCACGGTGATGCCAAAAACACCACCATCCACGGCAAGACTGGCACGAAACAGAACCTCTGGCCAATCGATCCCCCCGGGCACGTCGGCGACAAAAAGGAAAAACAGAACGGTTTCCACAAGCTCTTGCTCTTCCACCACAAGCTCAATATCAATCTGCAAAACCACATGCGCCAGCACAAGGAGCGCCAGCGTATCACCAGGGGCAGGATCAGACGCAAAGACAAAGAGAGCTGGACCAGAAACGAGCGGGACCAGGCAGAGGAACAAATGCTGTTGCTAACCCCACGAGCCCGAACCGAACCTAGTTGCCGGTTGTCCAGCAACCAAACCCATCCCTGCCGGCTAGAATCCACCGCAGCGGATGTTGACTTGCACATGGCTACCGAACCACCACTCAAGCGTTCCCACTCGTCCCCCCAACCAACGCTTCAGAGGTCCTTCCGTGGCAGCAAGAGCCACAAGCTGTCGCCTTTCCGAGTGGCTCGGTCGCTGTCCTTTTCCGTGATGACATCGCCGTTTGGAAAGAGCAAGAGCCACAAGACTGGCAAGACCCCGCGCTTCGAGTATTTGAAGGATACCGAGTAGCGCAGTGAAGGAGTGAATCAATCTTTGAGCAACAAGGCGCTGCCCTGATCGACTTTGCGCAACAAACTATTGAGGATCGTCATTTCCTTCGGGGTCATGTCCAAGTGTCTCTCTTGTCGTGGAGAGGGATAGAATCAAATCCAATCGAACTCAACCCAGTGCAATTCCTATCGTTTAGACGTGTGGAAAGTTGATGCAATCCATGATTGGGACATCGCCCTTTTCTATTCCGCTTTCTTCTGCAACTGCGAATTGTAGAATAGAATCGTTCGTTTCCCGGGTACTATGGTATGGGCACAAAACACAAGACAGCTACTGAACGTGGAAGAATCCAATTCTATACTTTTATGCGACAGAATATGCTCTGGTATGGTTCAATATGGCAAAATGTGTCTTTCGGGGATGTTCGCTAGCAGTTGTACAACACACAGCAAAACACACACAACTAATTTAAAGCATCAAGTTTTTAATGGTAATGTCTTGATTAAACGTGCGAAGCACCACTAAACGTCATTTGCCATGCATCTCTAGTTTAGGAGACAACTTTGGATCGAATAAATAAATGAATATAAAGTTTAGACTTTTAGCATGTTAACATGTAGGAGTATGGCATAGCTGATCCAACAGCCACAGTGTAGGTGGCTCTATTTTTTGTGACTGCGGTTCATTGCACGACCCTCTGTCTTGGCAAGCTCAAGCATTTCTCTCATTCTCCTCATCTTGTTTTTGTTTCTGGGTTTCTTCTTCTTCTTCTTCAAAAAACCGCACACGCCGACTCCGGCCTTTTTCCCGCAACTTTCTTTACAGTACTCGTGGATCCTGATTCTATTGTGCTTTTTGTTGCACTTCTTTTTAACTTTCTTTGCATTTCCTCTGCGAACCCAGTTGCAATCCTTTTTCTCTCTCCCCTTGAACCGAAAAGCAGGATCGTCACTGCATCCTTCCGCCCCAGTGGGATTTGAGGTCGGGAATGCGGTCGGCGAGAAGGTCGGAAACGCGGTCGGAAATGAGGTGGGATCTTCTGTGGTTGGCTCGATGGTCGGCAGAAAAGGATCGTCATTGATTACATCGGAGGTTGGCTCGATGGTCGGGCCGTCATTACCAGCGCCAGTACAAAAGTCGTGATCTCGATTAAATTGAAAGTTTCCATCACCGGAGAAAATTTCAACGCCATTTAGAAATCCTGCATAGTGTCCGTCGACGTCCATCATGCCATCGCCATAATTGTCCCAGATCGAGAACACGTAGCAAGTATTTTCCTTCAAACAATACGCATCGTTTGGATCCGAGGAAGGGAGTGTGTACTCCGTGTTACTCTCATATCCGTATCCGAATTCAAATTCGATTACATATGTTCCCGCCGCGATGCTCTCATCGAGGTACCAAAACGTCTCTAGTCCATGATTGTCCGTCTTGAGCTGAATTTTCAATGCGGGACTACCGTTGCAGTCACCGTTGGTAGGAGGCACAGGGAAATCAGTGGAAGTTGGAGACGGCACGGGGAAGTTCGTGGAGGTTGGGGGCGGCACGGGGAAGTTCGTGGAGGTTGGNGGCGGCACGGGGAAGTTCGTGGAGGTTGGGGGCGGCACAGGGAAGTTAGTGGAGGTTGGAGGCGGAGTTGGAGCCGGCACCGGATTGCCAGAACCGGTACAAACGCGTTCCGTTTTTGATTCTCGAAAGTCGCCATTGCCAGAAGCAATAGTGTTGCCGCCGAGCACCAGTGCGTAGCTTCCATCGGGAAAGCCATCCGGAAACGAGTCTCTAACTGTCCAATCGTAGCACCTATCCGGTTGCAGGCAAATCTGGTGCTCGTTTTCGATGTTGTTGATTGAGTACGAGCGGCTCATGATGACCTCTCCGTTCGAAGTATCGGTGAGTGTGAAGGACGTTTCTTGAGCGTATTGGTCGGTGGTGAGCCTGATTATAAGGTTCTGAGCATTGTCGCATGCAGGTGGTGGGCTGTTGTTGCAAAATGGAGCGACGCTGTTGAAGGTGTTACACATTGTTTCTTTGATCCAGCCGACACGCGAGCTGACCCTTGCATAGACACCAGGAAAATCGGGCAAGGCACATCCCTCCCCCCAGGACACCACACCTACTTGGGTATCGACAAAGGTACCGTCTGCGTTTGAAGTTCGTCTTACGATTGGCCCCCCCGAATCGCCTTGACAGGAATCCTTTTGTCCTTGGGGAAACCCAGCACACAGCATAGCATCTGTGATTTGTCCCGGGTAGCTGTTGCCGCAGGCTGCGTTGCTGACGGTCGGAACGGTAACTTGGCGGAGAGTTGAAGCTTGTGGCCCTCCTTGAGACGTGGCACCGTGACCCATGACGATAAGGTCGGCCCCGTCCGATGGAACCGAATTGTTCTCGTTGAGTTCGAGTGTGACAAAGGCTTTGCTAACGGTCACGGGCTGATCTAGCTTACAAAGGGCAAAATCGTTGTTGATATCACTGCCCCCGGTCCCGTAAAGGGGATCGGGGATCCAAACATCGCAAAAGCGTGCTTGTGCGCCTTCGTCGAGGGTTCCAGCATTGTAGGAACCGATGATGATTTGCTGACCCTGCCAGTTCCCGCAGTGGGCTGCAAAGAGGACGGTGTCGGGCGACACGAGAGACCCACCACAGCCTCCCATTTCAACGAAATAGGGAAATGATCCAGGTTCGGACTCAACTCCGCCGACAATCCGCTCGATTGTTTTTATGGGTTCAGCTGTAGCTGTGTCCGCCTTGAGAAAAGCGAGAAAGAAAGCGGCTTTCGAGAGTTTCATCATGTTTTCTGTGGCGCAAGTTGTGGTTTCTTTTGGTTGACGTTCGGAGGTAGTGTAGTTTGTTTACACTTTAGTTCCGGAACGATTTCGATTTATTGCTTGATCGGATTTATTTTATGAGCAGAATCCAAGTGAATGCTGTTGGGAACTGAGTGAACAAATACAGCGAGAAGAAGGACGAAAATCTGCAGTTTTCCGCCGTTCGCTGTTCGCAGTTCACCGTTCAAGCAAACTATCGTCGCTTTCCTGCCGTAGGGTTAGGTAATTACGCTACTTTTGCTGTACGGAAGGTATTCGTTTAATTATTTTACGACCAGGTTACGAATCGGAAGCAAGTTTCAACTTACTTACAAGGTTTTTATCTCAACTTTATCCAGCTTATGTATAATTTATCCTTTTCATTAATCACTCTATGTACGATTCATTAATACGTACTTTAAGTACTGTGAGGGTCATAGATTTAGGTCCTAATGAATTTCAGTCGTGAAAAAGTACGTTCATCGGTTAGGTAAGGTGAGAGATAATGTCCAACTGAATTTCAGTATTTGAAAGTACGCACTTCGTAGGAGGCGCTTTGGTTAAGTAAGGTGAGGGTTCGGAGATAAATTTTTCGATGACGATTGAAACATATTTAAGCTTGAAAATTAGAAAGCACATAGTTACGTGCTTAGTAGTCAATACTATGATTGCATTAAGGAACTTTCTACTCCAAATGGAATTTAGCGAACGAAACTTTTTTCCGTAATGAAACTACAGTGCGGTATCGTACTAAACATTGGAATCAATGGTCAGTAATATCCTGATGTGATAGTCTGTAGGTATGTACAGGTACGAGTACCATACCAAGGTAAAGCTATTCGTAGTACCGAACGTACGGTAACTCGTACCTCAGGTAGATCATTCTGACTTTCGAAATTTTGTTGGTGAATCTTGAAAACTCTATGGGCCTAATCATGGATATCGAATTTTGGTCCTTCTCTAAGACTGGAAATCTTGGTTGAAACGGAAGCTGATGATGGCGAACGTGATCGCCAAAAAGCACGAATACACTACCGTACGTACTTCACTGACCGTACGATCCTCGTTCTGGTTCTCTTTACAGTATTGGAGGGCCAAGGCGTTTATCACTCAAGCGAACCATATTTGCAACCAACTTCGCGACGCTCGAAAGCACGGTGACGTAGTAGCTAACCGGTAGTGGAAGTAGCAGCAGTAGCTTCATGGTTCGTATTGGAGGAATGGTGTGTTTGTTCTCCAGGCCTACCGGTGCATGCATATGCATGCATCGTATCGCATCGTGTTGCACCTACCTTACACGAAGCAGAAGGCACCCTGGCTGCAGGTAGTAGTGCGTTTTCTTTTCTTGTTATCGATCGTGCTGATTGCACTAGAAAAGCCGCCGCTGCTCCCGCCGTGGGAGAGCTTTTCAAATGCCGTCACCATCGTCGATTCCGTGTTGGTTTGTCGGTTCCCCTGGGCCTTCTTGTAGGACTTAAAGTTCCGAAAGGCAATGGCCACCTTGTGCCGTTGCTTGTTGTCGTCTAGGATAGCCGTCCAGCAGCCGTGCTTCTCGTCCCACACCAAGAAGCGGCCACCCTTGGTCTTGATCTCGTCCACCACTCCCTTTACAATCGTGGATTTCTTTGTCTGCGTGGCAGTTTCGTGCGTCTTGCTCATGGACTCGATAAGGGACCGAAAGGCGACGTTGCCGGGGTGGTTCATGACCGGACGCCCGGGTCGAAAAACCACGTCGAGCGAGCCGGGGCACTCGATCATGGTAAAAACCCCGCGCGTCTTGTAACTGTTGGTGCCGTTGGACGCGTGCTCGTGCTCGTGCTCGCCCTGGTGCCGGTTTTGTGGACACGGGGCATCGAGATCGGCCTCCTCGACCGTCGCCCGCAACCGGATCCAGTGCCGGAGGTAGCTGACCTTGACGTTCCCGGTGGGAGTCAGCGGCAGCAAGTCTACAGGGATACCGTACCCACTGATCTGGTACCGGAGTTCGACTGGTTCCCCGGAATGGAATTTGAGGCGGGACAGCCGGCTCCCACCCAGCGTCATGACGAAGACGCTCCGCAGGACCTGAAAGAAGGGGACGTTTGCGGGGGTGCACAGGTGGTAGGCAACGATCCGGATCGGTGCCCATCGAAAGACCATGGCGCAGAGTTTCCCGCCCCCGTGGATGGGAAACCGTAGCTGGATTTTCTCGGCAATATCCGGATTCGGCCACAACAGAAAGACGACTCCCTTTTGCTGGCTCTCCGTGTCTTCTCCTGCTACCGACAAGAAGTAGAAGAGGATCTTGTACTAGTTCATTGATGTAGTTCGTCCCATTGCACATAAATCACAAGCACATATATGTTTGTTTGTGTTCGGTTTGTCATCAAAGAATCGTTGGTATTCGTTGTGCGTTCATAGGTTGTTTGCGCGTACGTTCATGATTTTGTTGAATTAGCCGTAGTTTCCAAATCAATGAGGTGTGATTGTATAGATTTTTGGAAAAGTTAGTGATGAACAGAAGAACCAGAAAACGATGTGGAAGCAAGATTTCATACTCGCAACATATGATACACGAAATAGGAATCTGCACAAGGAGAAAAAAAAAACACACCGTGTTCACGCATCACACAAACAAAGCAACGAACCACCCACTACCCACCATATACCACATACCACACACCACATACCGCAACACAAAACAAACAATGCTTACCACCATCAGGGGATTGTTCCGTATGCCCATCGTGGCCACACCCGCGAGGACCCTGCGTCCGCTGCGGTCTCGAAAGGGCAGGAGCTGAATCATTCCCTTGCGGATGAGGAGCTTCTCCTCCTCATCGAAATCCGACAACCGGACAGGCCGCCGTAGGATTTCGGGGTGCGACGAGGTGGGAAACAACCAATCGACCATAAGCTCCAGATAGCCAACCATCCGCAGGGCGGCCTTTTGGGCGTCGAACAATTCGCACCGGAGGAATTTCAGGCGAAATTCCTTCGTGTTGACGTAGCAGGAAGGGCAGGACGAAGGCCGAGAACTCTTGGTGTTGTTGTCGTCGCTCCTCTGAGCGGAAACCAAGGCCTGTTTCTTCGAGGGGGGAATACGCGCCAGCTCCAGCTCCATCTTCCACAGGGCATTCTCCACCAGCTCGGGGGTTTCCTTCCTGGCCATGCACCGGACGCCGTGGATTTCTTCGATGATTTCGTTCCGGGCCCCCACGCTAAGCAGCATCATCTCCTTCACTACAAGGTCGTTGGTCCTCCGGGGGTTGAACGTGTCGTCGCTGTAGAATTCTTTGATGTGGGGCTGGCTTTGTTTGCCACTCTCCTCGTCGGAAGAGGAGGGTGGCGTGCGATTTCGCTTCTTTCGCGAAACGGGAGGGCCCTCGCCAGCCATTGTTGCCTCTCGTTTGTCCCGGCCTGTGTGGCGTAACGTAGTGCGATGGAATGCCTTGTCGGGGGTTGCTGTGGCGGTATGTGATGTATGCGATATGTTACTTTTTGTGCACAAAATGTCATGTGTTGTCCATGCTAGATAGATAAGCTTACCATGATTCGTGCACTTCGTTTTCTGACGAAGCAATGCAATCTAATTGGATTTCATATCTAGCGTTGCTGGTACCGTGATGTTTTTTTTTTTCCTTAAGAAATTCCTTAACAAATACAATTACTTTGTACTGGTACATCTCATCTTACTCCGACAGAATTCTTTGACAGTGGATGGGTTGCATTGTGGTACGTTGGATAGGATGCTCTTTAGAATTACGTACGGTAGAAAATCGTTACTGTATTCGTTTGATCCGATACCCGGCAATTGATTCGATTCACTTATTGCGATCCAGTGAAGAATCATTCTTTTGGATTGTAACGACACGTGACCTACAACATACAGTACCATAGCCTAACGGTACGGTATTACTTCGATGTTTACTTACACATTCATAGTTGAAGAGGCGTAGAACGATAAGTCGGATGCGGGAATGATCATTGTATTCATGGAAGAAGAAGACCGCTTCTTTTATCATCATTTACGGTATGACACATCGTTACTTTATCAACCACCTTGTGATGAACCAAAATTGTTTTTAAGAGTGCACGAACAAGTAAAGATATAAAAAACGAGACTCTCCTTGCAAGGCTCTGGAATATCAGGATTCTTCTTATTCGTATGGTACGAGTACGATACATAGAGTACGAGTACGCAGTAGTTTCGGCTGTAGATTGTGCAGATTGTTGGTCTTAGGGATAGCGTAAGATCAGATATGGATTGTTGCAATCTTTCTGATTTCAATAGAGAGCAGTCATGAATCACTTAAGAAATTCATGACTTAAGAAATCGGATCTTGTTTGGAACCCTCCAGAAACAACGGTTGCGAAAACCATCATTATTGCCTTGGGAAAGGAACCTAACGGAAATATCTCATCGACGTCGCCTGCGACATGATGTGATGAAGTAGTGGCCACAAGCTCTCCGGAGGGGTGCTAGATACGTTACATACGTTTACAAGATTGGTACCCTAGGTATCTATGCAAGGGATAATTTGGTGGGCTGCGCGATGCTGCGCTGAATTAAAAAAAATAACCATGGAAGAAATCTTAGTTCAAAAAGTACGAGAACGAGTACGTACGTACTTTAACGTGTAAGCAAGTGAACTGTCATGTACGGTATGTGTTATTCTTTGAAATTACTATCACAACATTTCTCTGACCCAAAAGAAGCCACCATTCCGTCGCCATGAATTTGTCGCTATGAGAGGCCAAGGAACGAAGCTCTTCTTGCAGAACGAATGTGTTCTTTTTCTCCAACAGAAAGGGACGGCGACCGCCACTTCTGCAAATCACCATTGGCATGGCTGTTGGTGATGGCAATGCTTTTGTTTTTAATCCTCGTTTTGGTGCCAATGGTGTTTTCTCTTCCGATGCTGTCATCGTCGGTGTTCTTGTTGACTTCGGCTTCGGCGTTGTCCTTCTGCAATCGTTGAACACGAGCCCGGATGGTTTGGTTGTAGTGCTGCTGGTACTAGCACTAGCACTAATCGATGGGATCGTCGTCGTGGTGGTGGTGGTAGCTTTTGCTGTTTCTGCTTGGCTTGTCGTCGTCGTCGTCGTTTTTGTCGAAGCCCTTGTTTGTGTCGGTTGAAATATGCACCCCGTGCAGCAAAATACCCCGAGTGACAGGCTCGGGAGGATGATGCGGGCCTGCCCCGTGCTTCCCGCCATTGCGTAGCAGGGGGACAGCCTGCGGCTGCACCGTTCGCACCTCTTGCCGTTCGCCAATTGCAGCAGCCGCATCGGTGTGGGTGTGGGTGGTTGGACCCACGGTTGTGGCAGTGCTTTCTTGGTGTTCCTGGTGCTTCTGCTTCTGCCGTTTTCGTTTTCGTTGCCGCCGAGGCCAAAGACCGACACCAGCTTCTCCACAACCAAAAAGGCGTGGTGGTCGGCCCGTGTTTTCGAAACGGTTGGTGGGCGAGGCGAGGCAGAACCGGGCGAATCCGCACCGTACCGCGCCGATCGAAGAACGTGATCGTATCGCAGGCGGGAGCGATGGTGTGTTGCCTTGGCAGTGGAGCACAAAGAGAGCAGCGACCGAGCGTCCAGGAAGGAGAAGATAGTCTCCACAACGAGGTCGTTGTCGAATATGCATATGCAGGTGTGGTTGTCGAGTTGGTGGTGTTCGAATTCTTCGCGAACCGTGTTGGTGTTGCCACGTTCCGAATCCGTTCTTGCAGATGGCAGTGCTAGGAGCACACTATCGTTGTTCGTTGTATCTGTTGACGGCGTCATGCTATCACGAGCTTTTGTTTCCTCTCTGTTTATTTTCTTGTTCTCTAGCTTTATCTGAAAGGCGTGTGCCGCGGCCGTCGAGACAACAGCGCTGCGAAATCAATGCGAAAAGAAGATGGAACAGAATCCGCTGGATCGATTCCACGAGATAATATTATGAAAACATCCACCCCGGCAAGGTATGGCACGGCAGGACCGCACCACACCGGCGGTCACGGTTCGACGGAGACAGCATGCCTTCAGAGGTGTTGTTGTCCTGTCGTCTCGCCGTTCCGGCACGGTATTGGAACTCGTGAGTGCAGAGGCGAAGAGTACCGTACCAGAGCAAGTGCCGTGCTGTAAGTACGGTGCGAGTACCACGCCAAAATCTTGCGCGTGTACAGCACCGTGTGGCGATGTCGCCACTGACAGCAAAATCAAGGTGACTGTCAATGGAACATGACTATTGTTGCACCGGCGAAGGAATCGCGAATTTTATGTTTTAGCCTTGCTTTGCATGCATTTTCGGTCCATCACACCCAGAGGTGGAACGTACCGGTACCTTACCTCTTTCTGAGATCCTCTTGCTTGGAAGTACAATTATTGCCTGTACGTGTACTCGTACTTCACTGGAACAATTACGGCATCAACAAAAGAACAACGGTGTCAATGTGAGGATAAATACGTGGAACAACGAGAATCACGAGTAGCTAGTGAATAACCTCACTCTTTATTGTAAACACCACTTAAACGTACAGTAAGGAGCATGTATACATTTCAATGAGCATCCATCGACTTACCTCGGCTCATTAACCATCATCAGTAACAACTAGTTCATTTCTACCAGTATGTATATTTCGCAGTCAAAAGTCAAATCATTGTTACTGTTGTACGGTACTAGTCGACCATAGACCGTACTGAACGAGTACGGTACGTACCGGACCGTACACCGAGAGGTAGATAGTAACATCTACCGGCCAGTGCGTAATTTGGGAATACTACAGCAGTAATGTATGTATCGTATGTATGTGAGTACAGTAAGCATATGTTTAGTTCCGTCCTTCGTCTTTCGTCCTTGGTGTTGTACTGTAGATATGAGGATCAAATGCAACGGTATTTTTTACCGTTCCAACCTGATTACGTACGGTACTGGTACGATTCGTAGCCTAAAGTACAGTAGAGAATGAAGTACGAACTCTTGTCCTACCGTACATACACTACGTACTCTTACTTTCAAAGTACGAAGAAGTACTTTCTACTTCTTGGAACCGTTACTGGTTTGACTTTCGAGCATAAGGACTACTCCGACTAATTGTGTAGCGAATATATTCACGTCTAAATGCAAGAAATTCGCGTCCAAGTGTAATGAATCAGCCACCTCATGAACCGAAATCTGCGCTCTGTAAGTGTAGCATTTCGTTAAGTGAGTCGAGATTGGGAGCTCTATCAGATCCCTAAAAAAGCGCTATGAATCCGTAGCAAAATGAGACAATCATATTATTATTTCTATTTTTATTAGCGCTTGAAATTCTTTATTTTACCAGCGCGTGAAGAACCTTCATTTCCATTCCATCCCCAATATTATTCTGGGACGATCATCATTGACTATTTTACCACGCCGGGCACGCTACCAGGCAATAGTCAGGCAATAAGAATGGTAACTTGCTGGCGACTGAAACTTTGGGGAGGGGACTAAGAGAATCTAATTATTATAGAAAATATTTATGGTAAAATGGTAGCTACCAGATTCCGACTAGAATTGCTACCAGATTGCTACCATAATTGCTACCAGATGGTAGCAATTTTAGTCGCAAGATGGTAGCAATTCTGGTAACAATTCTGGTAGCAATAGTTTCTTGGAGGTTCCCGGGACTGCAAATTGGTTTTATGGACGTCTGTAGTACAAAAGCTGTGTAGAAAGCGCTGTAGAAAACAGCAGGTCAAGGGGGTACACTGTCCATTTAGCAGTCCGGGAGCATAAATTCCTCTATTTATGCTCAATTTTTATGTGAATTAAGTGTTTACCATGACCGTTACCAGAATCTGGTAGAATTTATGGTAGCAATCCAGTCTACCAGATGGTAGCTATAATTGCTACCAGATGGTAGCTATAATTGCTACCAGATTGCGACCAGAAATGCTACCAGATTGCTACCACAAACGCTACCATAATATATGCCGCGCTACCAGAAATTTTTTTAAAATTCTCCCAGCCCCCTCTTAAGTATAATTGTGTTAACCAGCGCCTTCTGGTTCCATTCTAGTAGCGGGTCTAGTAGCAAAGATACGTGGTAAAATCTTCAATGATGATCGTCCCTGGGCCCTTTTGTTAAATGCGAGATCTACAATTTTATCTTTCGCCCATTGGCTCATTATTCTTAGTCAAGAATCGCTAAGTGTTATGGGCCGTTAAACGATACCTACAGTACAAGAGAGCGAACGAATGATAATCAGTTCATGCGTACGAAATAAACAATATGTTATGCATATCGCGCGTCACACACGTTTCATAGAAAACCCAAGGAACTAGATTCCATTCTGTTTGCCAGGACGAACGAACCACGATGAGAATCACAACGACGAACGGCAGAAGAATTGTGAGTATACGACTTGCAGCCGGATTTCGGCAAGGGTTGTTTTTGCTGCTCACCTCGATCGCGATCACAATGGCTGCCGAAGGCATCGACGGTATTGTCCTCTTTTCTGGAAACGGCAGCATCATCGCGGACGGCAGCACAGAAACTGCTAGCGGTGTCAACATCACCGCGCAGCAACATCAACACGACGCCGATGCGAATGGGTGGGTGCAAGAGTTGCCCCCCGGGACCGCTTGGGAGGATAACAAGCCGCTGATTCTAGGGATCACGATCTCTTCCGTGATTCTGCTGGTGTGCATTCTCGGCCTGACCATCCTGGACCGGGCAAAGATGAGGAGGCGAACCAAGACGGATGTCGTGCAATGCAGTAATGTGCACGCCGTGCCGTGCCGTCCAATTCAAACGAACGAAAAATTTGGCACAACGCATCAACGAATGGCGCAAATAGAGAGCAAAGTCGCCCTCTAGCGTTCGACATCTACGAATACCGCAACTAGAGAGCGCCCTCGCCAGATGTATTACACCATGGTTCGACCCAGAGACCTATATGCAATGACGCTGCCGTGCCCAAAGCAAACGGATAACAGAACGAAACTTAATTGAACGGACTGCAACACGAAACGACATTACAGGAATAGAACAACACGACATGACATATCATAGTACAATGGAGCAGTGGCCACAGAAGAAGACATCAATCAAAAGAAAATTAAACAAATCATAACTTAGTTAACGCAAATTTGTTTCTGGGGATGAACCGCCGTCGCCATCTCCAACGTCGTGTATCCCACTCAAACAACGAGATTTGCAAACGGTTCATTTTCAAGTACCAAACAGCATATGTGGGCAACATGCAACGTGGTCAGTAGCTGGAGCTGCGTATGACGCGTAGAGAATCAAATTCTGATGAGAGTGAAATAGACCATATATTTTGTTAGTGCAATCCATAGTTAAACGTAATGATCAATCCCGAGATTTAGGTACGGTAGAATTTTGATATTTTCAAAATGAATGAGCGTTCTTCACGCTAAAGACTCTTAATCGGTCGAGAATATCATTTCTGCAGTTCCGTCTGGTGTTTCAATAAGTAAATCATAGAACTCGTCAGTTCAACTGTTCTTCCATCCAACTACGAGTTTCATAACAATTGAAACCGGAAAAGTTTTAAACTTCAATGAAGTTACTACGCGTTGGGGATCAATTGAAACTAACGTTAATTAAGGCATTGGCAATGTTAAATATTAGCGCCAACATTCCGAATGTTAGTGTTAACGTACGGAATGTTAAGCTAACATTCCGTACGACGTACTGCTACGTAGGATTTGTACTATGCCCGTTGGGGGGCACGCCAACAGGCCCAGCAGCTGTTCAGCATCTTGCAAGATGCAACTGAGATTGGTCTGTTGGATGGATCCTAGTACAAAGCTGTACACAAATTGCTGTAGAAAATCAGCCACAATGCTTGCCAAATTCTTCACAAGAAGGGGAGAAGCAACTAGAAAAGGCCAAGCAGAAGGACAGCTGCAGCTGCAGCTGAGGAGCTTGAGGATGTTTCCAAAGCATTAAAGAAGGCAACGAAGGATTTAGATGAAAGCGACTGGTGTAAAGCAACTAAAGGAAATAACAAAGGCAAGATCTGTCCGTTAACTGTTTTTCGACCCCCCTTTTTTTGTAAATTTCCGGGGTTKGTACCTATTCTCAACCCCTGAATGAACATATTTTGTGAGTGAAAATAACACGTGGGTTGCGATTCCCGACCGGACTTACTACCTCACTTGTCAATTAATTTTAAAAAAAAAATATTCGATGAGTCGTGGGGGTTGAGAATTAATTTTGAAAGTCACGGGATGGCTGCTGTCAAAATGTCAAGTCACACGGTGCCAATTTATTTTTATTCACGTTTGCATATTGGGATCGCAAAATGTATTTTTTAATTCCATGGTAGAAAAGATCGAGTAAATTTCCAATTTATTTCAATTCTACTTTGGTGTGGTTGAGTTCATGTTTTTGTGCTACATTAGAATCCCATGGTACAAGTTTTTGAATCACTTTTTGATTTTTTCAATTAAATTTGAAATGTTTGGTTCTCTCAACAGGTGCAGCTAGAATTGTATGGTACAAGCGTTCGAATCACATTTTTGATTATTTCAATTAAATTTTAAATGTTTGGTTGTTTTGAAAGGTCCAGTGAGATCCATGCATTTGATTTTGACACCATTTAAGGTGCATTAGATTCCATTCTTTTTTAATAAAGTTTGGCTACCATTTTTATGTACTGCAAATAATCCTTAAACCCCCTCAACCTGTGTGCATTCCAATTCACCGTGGTTGTTTTTCCATTGATCCCTAATCAATGGGTCAATGTAGCATTCGTCATCGTCATCTGACTCCTCCTCACCATCCTTACCATCATAGCTATTTATGTCAATGACACCGTCTTCCTGCAAATTTTGGTGCGGGTTGGGGTAATGGCGGACAATATTTTGGTGACGAAGTAATAAAATGCTTCCCCACCAGCCAACTCCTCCTTGTGTTCCCGATACTCTTTMTGAAGGGTCCATCGTGAACCAGGGCAATCTGAACCCTTGTCGTTCACCAATCCAACAGCTCCTGGAAAATCATCAGGAACAACATCATTGGGGGAAAGGGAACCGTTCATATCAGCTGTGAAAACAAGGACAATCAAGAAAGAAATATCTTGTTGAGAGGCCATGTGTTTGGTTACTTCTTCTTACTTTTTCTCCCCATTAATATACTAAGAATACCCTACCTAACCAGTTTTTCCTTGCAAAACTTTGACTGTTGTGACACAAACTTGCCAAGCCTCATGGTATTTCTTTTTTGAGCTATTTTTTGAAATCTTGGTTTGTAACTTCGTTGGGCTTGCCAACACAATTCTTTTCGATAATTGCATCCTGGATGTGAGGGACAAGCTTCTTCTCTGGAAACTTAACACTTGCAAGGTATGCTTTTGCAGTGCTCAGTGCTCGGTGCTCGGTGTTTGGTGTTCGGTGTTTGGTGTTTGGTGTTCGGTGTTCGGTGTTTGGTGTTCAGTGCTTGGTGCTCCGTGCTTGGTGCTCCGTGCTTGGTGCTCCGTGCTTGGTGCTCCGTGCTTGGTGTTCGGTGCTCCGTGCTTGGTGCTCCGTGCTTGGTGCTCCGTGCTTGGTG